ACTTTGGCTGTATCCCAACAGTTTTAAACAGCTGTGTTTTCATTTTCATTTCTTTCCATGAATTTTAATCCTTCTTTAATTTCCTGGTTGACCCATTCATTCATTAGTAGGATGCTCTTTAGCCTCCAAATGTTTGCATTCCTTGCAAATTTCCTCTTGTGATTGAGTTCAAGTTTCAAAGCACTGTGGTCTGAAAATACGCAGGGAAAAATCTCAATCTTTTGGTACCAGCTGAGACCTGATCTGTGATCCAGTATGTGATTTATACTGGAGAATGTTCCATGTGCACTCAAGAAGAATGTGTACTCTGTTGCTTTAGGATGGAATGCTCTGTATATGCTCTGTGAAGTCCATCTGGTCCAGGGTGTCATTCAAAGCCCTTGTTTCCTTGTTGATCTTCTGCTTAGATGATTTGTCCATTGCTGTGAGCAGTTAAGTCCTCTAGTATTATTGTATTATCAATGTGTTTAATTTTATTATTGATTTGTATAATTGGCTGCTCCCAAGTTAAAGAGCATAAATATTTATAATTATTAGATTCTTGTAGGATAGAGCCTTTAATTATGACACTATATCATAGTGTCAACCTTTATTACGTCTTTGGTTTATAATCTAATTTGTCTGATATAAGGATTGCCACCCAGCTTCCTTTTGATGTCCATTAGCCTGATAAATGATTTTTCAGCCTCCCCACTTTCAATCTGGAGGTATCTTTAAGTCTAAAGTGAGTCCATTATAGACAATATATGGATAGGTCTTGCTTTTTTATCAAATCTTACACCCTGTGTCTTGTGATTGAAGCATTTATCCTATTTACATTCAGAGTAACTATTGAAAGATATAAATTTAGTGCTATTGAATTACATGTAAAGTACCTATTTCTATAGATTATCTTTCTTTCTGTTAACTGTTACTCTCAGGTGCTCTCTCTTCACTTACAGGGCCCTGATTTAATGATCACAAATTGCTTTAGTTTCTGTTTGTCCTGGAAGCTCTTTATCTCTCTTTCCATTCTGAACGACATACTTTCTGGATAAAGTATCCTTGGCTGTATGTTTTTCTCATTTAGTACCCTGAATATATCATGTCAGCCTCTTCTGGCCTGCCAGGTCTCTGTTGATAGGTATGCTGCCAACCTAATGTTCCTACTCTGTAGGTTAAGGAGCTCTTGTCTCAAGCTGCTTTTAGGATTTTCTCTTTATCTCTGAAATTTGCAAGCTTCAATATATATGTAGGGGTATCTATCTATTTTTATTGATTTTGAGGCAGAGTTCTCTCTACCTTCTGGACTTGAATACCTGTTTCCTTCCCCAAATTAGGTTAAGTTCTCAGCTATGATTTGTTCAAATATACTTTCTATCCCTCTCTTTCTTCTTCCTCTGGGACTCTGATAATTCTAGTATTATTTTGCTTTATAGTATCACTGATTTCTCAAAACCTCCTTTCATGGTCTATTAGTTGTGTTTCTCTCTTTTCTTCAGCTTCCTTCCTTTCCATCAACTTGTCTTCCATGTCACTGACTCTCTGTTCTGCCTCATTTACACTAGCTGTTAGAGCATCCATTTTAGACTGCGTATCAGTTAAACCATTTTAATTTTAGCCTGGTTAGATTTTATTTCTGCACTAAGAGATTCTCTAATGTCTTCTATGCTTTTTTCAAGCACAGCTAGTAACTTTATAATCATTAAACTGAATTCCGGCCCCAACATTTTACTTACAACCATATCAGTTAGATCTGTAGCAGAGTATTACCTCTGGTTCTTTCTTTCGTTGTGAATTCCTCATTTTAGTCATTTTGCCAAGAGTAGAATAGATGAATGAGAGAACAAAATCAAAAATATCAAGCATGACCCAAGAGAAGTACACACTAGACAAATCCAAGAGGTCAGAAACCAAAAAAGAAAAAAAAAAGTTGGGGGAAAGAGAGACTATAATCTCACAGGTGGACAAAACAGGGTGATCCACTTGATCCTGGGTGTATTTTGGTCTGTTACAGGACACTAAATCCCAAAATTGTAAAGAAAGTAAAATTTGTATATGTACAAAAATAAAATTGGATACAGTGAACAGAAGCCAAAAATGAAGGATATATCTATAAAATGTAAATGTAAAAATGAAAATTTAAAAAAAAAACTTAAAAACAAAAAGTTGATAAAATAAGAAACTAGTTGAAAAGGAAAAGAAAAAGAAAATTTTAAACTGAAAGACTAAAGACTCATGTAAAAAGGCCTATAATTCTATATACTATTGCCCTTAGTCAGGAATTTTTCAGTTCTGAGTGATCTATAAACTTGGTATTTGCCTGAGGATCCTTCTGGTCTTCTGTGGAAGGGGCCTGATTTACTGATTCTCAGGTGTCTTTGCCTGAGTGGAGCTGAACCACCCCTTGCCAGGGTGCCAGACTCAGTATAAGCTGCTTTGGGTTGTTCTACGTGGTTTTCATTCCCTGAAGGCTTTTTCTACCATTTTAGAGAATGGAAAAAAAGTAAAAAATGGCAGCACCCCAATCTCCAGTCCTGGAGTTGAAAGATCCTGACCCCCACTCTTCAGTGTACCCTCAGGGAAAGGCAGTCAATCCCTTTCCTGTAGGCCAAACTCCCCAGACTCCTGTGGTGCACACCCACACCAATCCTCCCAGAGGAGGGTGATATGTCTCACTTCTACTCTGCTGTTCACTGGAACCTGCTCAAGGAGCATTTGCCCGATCGTGCATGCACTCCCACTGCTTCTCTCAGGGGAAGGAGCTGGATTTCACAGTGGTTGTCACTTGTTGGGCCCCTGCTCTGACAGCAGTCACTGACTGTGCTGTGGTTTGCAGTTTATGGCAACTCCTAGTTGAGAAGTCACTCAGCAGCTCATTAGCCAGCTTCCCTGCTCCAATGTTAGGGAACTCTGCCACATTTAAGCTCCCCCTTTCTTTCTGTGATGCTGGGGATCCAGAGACCACACTATACCACCTAGGATCCCACCCAGCTTTACCATCTGACCACCTTTCAGGCAGGGTCATTCCTCACAGAAGCAGACTTCTAAAAATTCCAGTTTTGTGCTTCACTGCTATATCACTTTCCGGTAGCCCAGTGACAGAGGTTCCTTCTCCCCATGATTTATCTTCTAATATATTCCCCTCAGATTCACATCTTCACACCTCCTACCTTGCAAAAAGTAATCACTTTTCTATTTGTAGAATCACAGCAATTCTTTTCTTACATCTCATGTTGAATTCACATGTGTTCAGAATGATTTGATAGTTATCTAGCTAATTCAAGGTACCAGATAAAACAATGGTGCCCTAATTTTTGGCCATCTTCCCTCTCTCCTACTTCTGAAGTCATTAAGGCTTAGAACTATACTAAGACATTTGCCACACCCTATCTTTAACAGAATTTTCAAGGATGTAATTGTAACAAGTTGTATAAGGAGGCATCAATGGAGGAGGCTCTAAGTTCCCAGTATCACATGCCAAAGTAATGGGTGAGGCACTTAAAAAAAAGAACGCAACCAAGAAAGAGCACTAAAACCTTTCACTGATATGGACAATATAAAAGGATCAGGAAAGAAGACTGAGAAAGAGAATTTCTCTGCAGAGAGCTACCAGGTGCCTTGAGCCATATACAGACCCTTAAGGGAGAGGAGGATATCCTTGCCCTGATCTCAAGCCTAGTGTGAGGTATTTTAAGTAGAATACTTGGAAAATCTGGTGTAGTTATGGAGAAGGAAGCCAGTGACAGTCAAGTAAGACTTTTCCTGTATAACTTATCTTTATTCCCTCTCTTCCCAAACACGTGGAGAACAGAAACTACAACTAGTTAGTTAGAAAAGAGGTAATGAAAGAGAAAAACCAATCATACATAACCCCTAGCAGGTTCCAGCTGGTAAACTGGGTGGGAGGAAAAAGGGGAGAAGTATTAACTTAGAATAAAAATTAAAATATTAACTGTAATATCTGACAGGGAATTTTAATTTTCAATTAGGACAGTGCTTCTAAGTTAAATTGAATTGTTATCTGAGAGTGATCAAAAAAGTCATGGTTTACTCTAGTTTTTATCCAGGAGCAAGGGTAAAATAAGCTTCAATTAGCAAATATAAATGAATCATAAGTGTCCAAATAAAAGTTTGTGATTTCATTCTACAAAACATGCTTTGTCAACATACAAGTTTTGTAACTAATTTAACCTTAGTCACCTGAAAGTCATCCAGAGTGACTATTCTAGGTACCTACATCCAGAGTGACTATTCTAGGTACCTAACATAAGTGAAATCTTATAACAAAATAACTTTGTCTTCTTGTGACTGGCTTATTTTATCTAGCATAATAGCCTCAAGGTTCCTTCATGTTGTACCATATGACAGAATTTCCTTCCTTTTTAAGACTAAATAATATTCCATTGTATGTATATATCACATTTTCTTTATCTATTTATCTGTTTTCAGACACTTGGGTTGCTTTCACCCTTTGCTACTGTAAATAGGGTTACAGTGAACATGGTTGTATAAATATCTTTGAGATCCTGATTTCAGTTTTGCAGGGTTTCTAATCAGAAATGAAATTACTGGATCATATGGTAATAACATTTTTAATTTTTTTAAAAGATTTTATTTGTTTATTTGTGAGAAAGAAAGAGAGAGAAAGCACACAAGCAGGCAGAGAGGCAGGCAGAGGTGGAGAGAGAGGCAGGCTCCCCGCTGAGCAAGGAGCTCGGTGCGGGACTCGATCCCAGGACCCTGGGATCATGACCTGAGCCGAAGGCAGCGGCTTAACCCACTGAGCCACCCAGGCGTCCCACATTTTTAATTTTTTGAGAAACTTAAATACTGTTTTCCATTGTGGCTATACAATTTCATATTCTGCCTCATTATAATTTCAAAATTACACATATCACAAAAATTGACATAAGAACACTAAATTTTTTAACAGTGCTCTTATTTATGCTTCTAATTTTTCTAAAATGAATATCTACTCATTTTCATAATTAGGAAAAGGAGTTATTTTAAAAGCTTACCTCTCCAACATATTTGACTGTTTTTCAAATATTTTCAACATGACATTCAATCGACTCATCAGTGAAAATGTAGTTTCTATCATGAAAAAAATGAAAAAATTTAAAGGTATTACAAATGGCTAAGGTTATACCTCTATGCTGATATAACTCACTGCAATACGTGTGATAAATAGATGAACATAACAAGGAGACAGTACTCAAGGAACAAATGCTTATGATAGTTACCATTTTACTAAATTCCCATTATGTCACTATGCTACTTTACAATTCTCTTAATCCTCAAAATAACTCAAAAAGAAGATCTTGTCACCATTTTCAAATAAATCTTTGGAGTCTCAGAGAGGTTCTATAATTTGATCAAAACTATACATCTAGTAAGTGACAAAACTGGATTGAGGTCAGTGTGTGTGACCTCCTCATAACATTACATACAAGAGGACTCTAAGATGCTAAAAGAAAAGTTGCTGCCTCTAAGTCAATAAAGTCTATGAGAAGATGCTAACAATCCCAATAAGTTTTCCACCTGAATCAGATAACGCAAAAGGTTAACTAAAATACTACTTAAAAGGAAACCAATATAGGGATGTCTGGGTGGATCTGTCCGTTAAGAATCTGCGTTCAGCTCAGGTCATGATCTCAGAGTCCCGAATTGGACTCCTTTCTCAGGGGGGAGACTACTTCTCCCTCTGCCTCTCACTCCCCTTGCTTGTACTCTCACTCTTTCTTGGCAAATAAATAAATAAAATCTTTATTTAAAAAAAAAAGGAAAGGAAACCAACATAATGAGAATCCACAGTAATCAATGAACTCTCAGGGCAATAACACAAGATTCTTCAATCTTATGACACAGAAAGTATTTAAGAGAAGACAAACTTCACTAAGTTTGCTGCTAGATAAACCAAACATGAAAGGGACAAAGATAATGTTAAATAACATGGAAGCAGTCAAAAGTTCCTATATATCAACTATATTTTTTTCTATTCCACATGTCAAAATTGTGGTACAGAGAAATATAATAAATGTTTAGGTGCTGAGAAGAGAAAGGAAGAGGACAGAAATCAGTTGGACTTAAAGAATGGAGACTTTATTAGAAAGAAACAGGCAAAATCATAAGTAAAGACAGGAAAGGTACAAAAGGGCAACATATATCAAGGGAACCAAATAAGACAAGTATACATGATCTCATGGGTCGTGAGCTCAAGCCCTGAGTTGAGCTCCCTGGGCAGAGGGGAGTCTGCTTGAGATTTTCTCTCTCTCCCTCTGCCCTCTCCCCTCATTCATGCTCTCTCTCCCTCTCTCAAATTAATAAAATCTTTTTAAAAATAAAATAAAATAAGTATACAAAGAAACCAAGAAAACCAGAAGCTTTGCTTTAGGAGGGTCAATACTCCTTAAACATTCAAATGTATATTAAAAGTTAGCTTTAGAAAAATCAAATTTAGAACTTTTTATAGGGAAGAGAGAATATTTAAAATGCATAAAATATGAGGCTCCTGGGTGGCTTAGTTAAGTGTCTGCCTTTGGCTCAGATCATGATCTTGGGATCCTGGGATGGAGCCCTGCACCAGGGCCCCCACTCAGAGGGAAGTCTGTTTCTCCCTCTCCCTCTGCCTCTCCCCCCTAAGATCACACTCTTTCTCAAATAATTAGTCTATAAATAAATAAATAAAATATTATACCATATCACTTTAGGATTAATTTGAACATACCATAGAGCATGATTTAAAATTATGCCTTGGCTAGGGGGCGCCTGGGTGGCTCGGTGGGTTAAAATTATGCCTTGGATTTGGTAAAGGATTACAAAGAACATCCACTGTTATCTCTGTCACAATTTTATTTATTTATTTTTAATGATTTTATTTATTTATTTGACAGAGATCACAAGTACGCAGAGAGGCAGGCGTGGTGGGGGGAAGCAGGCACATCCAGGTAAATATGACACATATTAATAAGTAGAGATAGGTAAAGCTGACACCTATAAATATAGCTAGAAACGAGGAAGAAACACAGGTACTACCAATATCAGCCACAGAGTCTGAGTCTCTATGGTTTCCTATGACCTGCTCCACAGAAGACCTCGGCAGCTTCCGTCACTAAAGAAACCAATGGCCAGCACAGCCACTAAGAACACTCTGCAAATTTCACTGGGTTTTGTCCCACAAGTATCCAAGTATCTGCATTGGCTGATGCCAGTTGCCTGAGTCCCTTACCAATCCCCACTACACACACACACACACACACACACACTACACCACCACTGGAATCCAAGACCCACACCAGAAGCCAGCCCAAGACTCTGGCTGTGCAAGTGCAAACACCAGACTAGATCCCCATAGCTAACACTCACTGCCATGTGCTCACTCAGGGCTAACCCCTCCAGTTGTACACCTGCATGCTTACATCTCAACCCATCACTAGCTTCTACTGCCATGTGCATGCCCAGAGGGATACTGGGCTGTCACAGAAGAATGCTTCCAGCAGTCAGATCCCCACAGCTGTTTCCAGGCCCAGAGCAGGCCCCTGTCTTCTGTCACTGTCCAGCACCACTGTGCTCACTTGTAGCTAGCCCCTCCAACTGTACACCTGCACACCCCTGGCCCATTATCAGCCTCCACAGCTGTGTGCCTGTAGCAAAACCCAGAAGCCACAACGGCGCACACAGACAGCCAGGTTCCCCAAGCTGTCTGTGTGCCCACAATTGTCCTCAGCCTTGCTGTCTTCCCTGGGCCCCACCACTATGTACGTGTTTGCAGTTGGCCGCTGCCACACACACACACACACACACACACCTGCTGCTGGCCTTCAGCCAAGAGTGCGTACACGAGCACTGGCCATACCACTGTCTGCCCTGGTCCCTTGTGGTTGGACCTGGAAACAATGCTGAAGACTACAACAGCCTCTGACATCTCTGTAGACGTCTATAATGTTTGCCAAGGACCATGCAGTTGTTGATGTTGTGGATTGCAACAGCCTGAGCCAACAACTCACAATACCTCCCGACTAGTTCTGCCACATGCCCCCCCCATACTTGACACCAGAGCATAGGGTCATTACATACTCCATCATCCCCACACCTGCAGCTGAAGATCCTTCCTTACTGAAATCAGTCTATAAAGCCTAAAAGAGACAACTGCTTCTTAAGTGTGCAGACAACTATGTAATGATACAGAGATCACAGAGAATCAGGGAAACATGACTCCACTAAAGGAATACAACAAATCTACAGTAACTGGCTCCAAAGAAATAAAAATACAGGACTTGCCCAACAAAGAATTCAATATAATTTTTCTGAAGATGCTCAGAGACCTATAAGAAAACACAGATAAACAATTTCATGACATAGGGAAAATAATACAAGAGAAAATGAGAAGGTAAACAAAGAGAAATCATTTAAAAATAGAAGTTTTGATGCTGAAGAACACAAGGAAAACACAATGAAATAAACAACAAAAAAAACGTGGGACTACATCAAACTAAAAAGTTTCTGCACAACAAATGACAACATCAACACAATAAAAGGGCATGCTATGGAAAGGGGAAAATACTTGCAAACCATGTATCTGATAAATTAATATCCAAATATAAATTTTTTTAAAACCAATTAAAAATGGACAGAGGACCTGAATAGACATTTTTCCGAAGAAGGCATACAAACAACCAACAGATACATGAAAATGTGCTCGACAACAATAACTATCAGGGAAATGTAAATCAAAACAACAATAAGATACCATCTCATACCTGTTAGAATGGCTATTATCTAAAAGACAAGAGGTAACATTTGTTGATGAGGTGTGGAGAAAAAGAAACCCTGGTGCACTATTGCTGGGAATGTAAAGTGGCACTGCCACTGTGGAAAACAGTATGGAGTTTCCTCAAAAAATTAAAAATAGGACTACTGTATGATCCAGCAATCCCACTTCTGGGTATATATCCAAAGAAAATGAAGTCACTGTCTCAAGGAGATAGCTGCTCTCCCACATCCACTGCAACATTATTTACAATACAACAGCCAAGACATAGAAACAATCTAAAAAATGATGAAAATATGATTGATATACACACACATATATATAAATGTATATGTATATACATATACATACTCATACACACACAATGGAGTATTATTCAGCCATAGAAAAGAAATCCTATTTGTGACAACACAGATGACACAGTGAAATAAGTCAGAAAGAGAAAAACAAATACTATGTGATGTCACATGTGGAATCTAACAATATTGAAAAAGAAACAAGAGAGTAGAATGAGGATTTCCCAGAGCTGTGGCATGGGGGAAATGGGGAGATGTTGGTCAAAGGGTACACGTTTTCAATTATAATATAAGTTCTTGGAATCAAATGTACAACATGGTGACTATGGTTAGTAGTACTGTATCGTATACTTGAAAGATCCTGTAAGAGTAGAGCTTTAATGTCCTCACCATAACACCACCAATAACAAAACGGTAATTACTTGAGATACAAGATGAATAAACTTCCCTTATTGTAGTAGGCATTTTGCAACATATACAGATCAAATAATTTTGACCACCTTAAACTTATATATGCCAATTATATATCAAAAAAGCTGTGAAAAGGAGTTCAAGGATATGCACATCCGTAACTTATATAAAGAAGAGCTATTTTTCAAAGTGATTATGCTCAATCACAATGGTAGTGATAGCTCAACTGTATGGCTCCAACTCCAGGCGATCTATGTCATTACCATAATAATGACTTTAAATTATAAAAAAATTATAGAAATTAATGCACTGAACGTATGTTATTAACACGATAATGCTTCAACAAGTGGAAACTTACGTGGATCAGTTGCAGAAACATCTCTAAATTCTTCAGTTGAGTGAGTTTTTATGAATTCTGAAATAATAGTAAGTGCCATTGTTTCAAATATCAATTATATGTATTGAGTTTAAATTTCATAGTTTTTTTTTAAATAACTCATTAAAAAGAAAGAAAAACAATAGAACTGCCAACAATAGAAATCCTCCCAGTCAGGCAACAAATAGAAATATATGAATTTGTGAATGTATATATGAATATATTTGTATATGTATATGTATATAAATGTATATATAAATGTATATAACAACTACGTGTTATGAACTCATCATTTTCTCAACACTTGTTTTTCCTCTTTTATTCTCTTAGTTAATGTTATCATGATTTAATCTCCCTTCTTCTCATATCCAATCAAGTTTTGCCCATTTTACCAGCAAATTTTCTCAAATCTGCCCTTTTTCTTCTTGTTTATTTGTGTTCTAATATAAGCACTTATCATACACATAAAACAAAGCAATAACTTCCCTTTCCTATTCCTAGTCCCCAAATGTGACTTCTACAAATGGCCAGAATAATCTGTATACAATTGAATCCAACAATGCCACTTCCCTACAAAAAGTCTTCAGTGGTTCCCTATTAGATATATTTTTAAAAAAATCCTTAGCACACCATCTAATACCTCTGACTGGCTCTCTCTTACCTTATCCCTCCTTATTGCTTCACATTCTAATACCATTCTATTTATAACTCCCTATTCATTCTGTTTGTTCATGCTACATCCTCTTTATAAAATAGCAGATATTTCCCTTCTTCACTTGACTAAATCCTAGTCATCCTTTAAGGTTGCATAAAATCTTCCCAACTTCCTTGGCTTGAACAAATTGGCTACCTGTGGACTTGCTGCAAATCACATATAACTTTTATCATGTATTACACTATATATTAAAGTGATGCATAATATGCGTGTGTCCTTACTAATTCATGTATTTTACGGTGGTTAACAACCAAGGTTTAGTTTTGTACAACTTCTGGAATCTGAAACATAAGAACCCTTATTAAAAATATCAAACTCACAACTGAATATCTTTTTTAACTTGCTACTGTATAATTTTATGGCTAAATTTTTAAACTGTAAGTTGCAAAATGTTAATGTAATGTAGAAAACCCTATAAATGCTAAACATGTATAAAATATTATCACCTTCAATTATCTGCTGTACAACTTCATTACTATGCACTGTTCCTGGTGAATTTTCAGTATCCCTGTTAAAATTTTAATAAGTACATTTATTTATTATCAGAGAGTAAGAGCTTAAATTATACTTAAGAAATAAAATATATGCTCTGGATATATGTAGTTTGTAAAATAAAACTTAACATAATCTTTAACCTTTATTGAGACACTAAGGTAAATTAGTATAATTGCAAGCAAACAAGTATAAAATCACACAGTATAATTCTATGAATGCTATATATTCCATGAATATAATTAGGTATTCCAACAATATTAACAACAAAAATAACAAAAGTAAATTGGGGAGAAGCATGACATTTCTTTTCATATTGTGATTGTTAAGAGCACAAGTTCTAGAGTCAAACTGCTTGGCTCAAAACTTGTTTTACCCACTTGCTAATTTATGACTTTAGTAGGTTACTTAATCCCTCTGACTTACAGTTTCTTCATCTATTAAAATTGGGGTATTAGAGTACATACCTCATAAAGTAGTGGTAAGGTCCAGTACATGTAAAGTTATAAAGAAAATGCCTGTACACATCAGACACTTCAATTCCAGGTATTACTATTAACATACAATCTGAAATTAATTTTGTACTTTACAATAGATAGCTCAAGTGAGTCTATCTGAGCCTCTGAACTAAGGATCTAGTTAATGGGCACCTACTGGAGCTAACGCAAGTGCCATTCCTTTCATTCCTTTAAATCTAGTCATTGACAGAGATATAAAGTAACTGCATAATAAATAGTAGTCCCTCCCAATTACTCTCTATTTTAACACTATAAAAGGGTTTTTATTATATGTTTAATGAAAAAAATGGCTATATGTAAATTTTTACTTGGATAAGTTACTATACCAGATATAGTTATATCTATATATAAGCAATAACAGAATAACAGGGGAACAAATTAGGTGATTTAATTCAGATACTCATAAAGTTACACATATTTATTTACTGTTTATATGTGATAAGAAACATTTAGATGTGTGTAACTAGTTCTGAACTTGAGGAAACCATCTCTCCAGGAGACTCACACAGAAATTATTAATTCATAATACAAACCCTAGGTTCACCTGATCCCATGAATACAACTAGGTAACAATCGAATCATCCTAAATACCCCCAGAAGACTGGCAGAACAAATTCTAGAGCTAAATGTAGAGAAGAGGCCACATCAAAGAAGGTAGAAGTAAGGAGATACGGTTTGGGAGAAAAAAAATTGTGGCCCTGTGGTGGGTAGGGAGCTGCAGTCATAGAGCAGGCCAAGAGACAGAATAGAGCCCATATGGGGAAGATGAATCCCAGTAGCAATTGCCTTGAAAAGCAAGAGGGGCTGAATTTTGTGAATTTTTGCAACCAGTGGAGCTTGAAACCTGGAATTTTAAAGATCAATGGCTGAGGGAGACCCTAGAGGGCACTGAGGTTACTCTTGGAAAAAAGGCAAGGTCAACAGCCTGTGAAAGTACAGCATGGAAACAGTGATCTGAAGAGTGCGTGGGGCTCCCAGGCGGGAGGTTATTTGCTCATCTCCCACCATATCCCAGACAGGCAGTGTGCACAGACCCCTCCAGGAACAAAAGAACTGGCAGGTACTGTGTCCAAAACCTTCCAGATACTGCGAAAACCACTCTAAGAGGCAAGTCTATAGCAATAATGGCCTACATCAACAACAACAAATCTCAAATAAACAACCTAACATCTACAGGAGCTAGAAAAAGAACATCAAAACCCAAAACCAGCAGAAGGAAGGAAATAATAAAAAAATTAGAGCAGAAATAAATGATACCAAAGCTAGAGTCTGTCTCTGAGGATCTAGACTCTGATGCTGAAGCTCACTCCATCTCAGGACTGTGACCAGGATCTCTAAGATTTTGACCCCATATCTTCAAGTTTCCACCTTGAACCAGAAATCACCAATCCTGTCCCTGCGGCTCTTTTTTTTTTTTTTTTTTTTTTTTTAGATTTTATTTATTTGAAAGAGACGGAGAGAGGAGGAGCAGTGGTAGGGACTGAGGGAAAGGGAGAGGGGAGATGACTGCCCTGCCTTGTGCACAGAGACCCAGCAGGGCTGATTCCAGGACCCTGAAATTATGACCTGAGCCAAGGTCAGATGCTTAACCAACTGAGCCAACCAGGTGCCCCTATTCCACTGGATCTTGAGCCAGTGTGCACCTCGACCACACCAAAGCCCCAGACCTGAAATCCCCTCTCTCATCCAGACTCACTACTATACCCAAGGTCGTGGCCACTAGTCCCATGGTGCTCCCTGCACGTGCCAGCCCTCTCCCACCCTTCTCCTGCCCCGATTATGGTCGAGCCTTCTGCCGCTGCTCTGGACTGAGCTAGCACTGCTGCTCCCACAGCAGCAAGAAGCCATACCACTGCCAGACTTGCAGTAAGTCATTTGGCCATGGCACCATGCTAGTTCAGCACTGCAGCAACCGCGCTGGCGGGTGGCCCGACCCGAACACCCTCTGCGGCAAAGCCTTCAGCTGGCGCTCCACACTGCTGAAGCACCGAGGCAGCCACAAGAAGCTGCAGCACTGCCCCATGTGTGTCAAGGCATTGAGCATGGCTTGCTGCTAGTGCAGCACCTGCACATGTACAGCAGCTCTCAGCCCTGCAAGTGCCCAGTGTGCACCAAGGGCATCAGGCAGGGCTCAGCACTGTTGATGCACCTGCAACTGCACACTGGCAGTTCCCATGCCTACAGTGCAGCAAGGCCTTCAGCCAGAGCTTAGCACTGCCACAATGCCAGTGCCTGCGCATGCACAAGTGCACACACACAGACACACAGATACACACACACACGGCAGAGTACCCATACCACTGTCCCCACTGCCGCAACACCTTCAGCCAGAGCTCCAACTTGCTTCAGGACCTGCGAAGCCACACCAGCAAATGGACCAATGCCTGTCCCCACTCTTGAAGGCCTCCAGTGGGAGAGCTCCTCCCTGCTGCTGCAGCACCTGCATATGCATTCGAGAGTGTGCCCCCTGCCACTGTCAGCTCTGTGGCAAGGCTTTCTGACAAGCCTCTAGCCTCACCAAGCACAAGTGGGTGTGTGAGGGTGTAGCTGCCACCACAGGTCAGGGCCTCAACCCAGCTTCAATGTTGAGGCCAGAGCATGTCTCCCTCCTGAATCCTGATGCTCTGTTCTTGGCTCTGGCCTGGGTCTCAGCACTGACACCAGCTCTGGCCTTAGTCCTCACCCTAGCTCTGTGCAATACTCCCTCCCTAGTCCTACCCCAAAGTTATTTCTGGTTCTGAACCTACCCTCAGCCCTGACTCTGTCATATCTTCTGACTCTAAGCCTCACCACAAGGCCAGTCCTGACTTGTGGCCAGCCTTGACCATCGATCTGATCCCACCCCTATCAGGATCCTGTGCCCAGCCCCAACTCCAACTCTGAGTCTCAGCCTGACCCCGGCTCTCCCACCCATGACACTGTGAGTGCAGCCCTCCCTACTGGCTAGAGTCCTGAGTGAGTATAGGAGCAAGGGACTGGCCCCATGGCTGAAGGGGACTCCCAACAATCAAGAGGGCCTGGGGAAGTTGGATATCATGTTGTTAAGTAAAATCCTCCCACTGCCTCATGAAAAAAAAGAAAAAAAAAGGACATAGAATCTAAAAAATCAAAACCAGATAAACAAAGGAAAAAAAAAAGATAAATAAAATGAAGAGGAGCTGCTTCTTTAAAAAAATAAATAAAATTCCTAAGCCTCTAGCCAGACCCATCAAAAAACAAAGAGAAAGGACCCAAACAAAATTACAAATGAAAGAGGACAAATAACAACTAACACCACAGAAATATCAACTACTATAAGAGAATATTATGAAAAACTACATGCCCACAAACTGGGCCACCTAGAAGAAATGGCAAATTCCTAGAAACATAAAAACTACCAAAACTGAGGCAGGAAGAAATAGAAAATTTGAATAGACCAATTATCAGTAAGGGGATTGAATCAGTAATAAAAACTCCCAAAGAGTTTTAATGCAAAAATCCTCAACAAAATACTAGCAAACCATTGTATTGTTGGCAATACGTTAAAAAAAAAAAAAAGTCATTCACTATAATCAAGTGGGATTTATTCCTGGGTTGCACAAATGGTTTAATATTTACAAATCAGTCAACATGATACATGACATCAGTAAGAGAAAGGATAAAGAAATCATATGATCCTTTCAATAGATGCAGAAAAGGCATTTGACAAAGTACAACATCCATTCATGACAAAAGCCCTCAACAAAGTAGGTTTAGAGGGAATATACCTCAATATAATAAAGGTCATATATGAAAAACCCACAACAAATATTATCCTTAATGGGGAAAAACTGAGAGGAAAAAAACAAGACAGGGATGTCTACTCTAAACTAGTTTTATTCAACATAATACTAGAAGACCTAGATAGCAATCAGATGGCAAAACGAAATAAAAGGCATCAAAACTGGGGCACCTGGGTAGCTCAGTGGGTTAAAACCTCTGCCTTTGGCTCAGGTCATGATCTCAGGGTCCTGGGATTGAACCCTGCATTGGGCTCTCTGCTCAGCAGGGAGCCTGCTTTCCTCTCTCTCTCTCTGCCTGCCTCTCTGCCTACTTGTGATTCTCTCTCTGTCAAATAAATAAATAAAATCTTAAAAAAAAAAAAGGCATCAAAACTGGTAAGGAAGAAGTAAAACTCTCACTATTTATAGATGACATGATACTCTGTATAGAAAACCCTAAAGACTCCCCCCCCAAAAAAACTGCTAGAACCAATAAATGAATTCAGTAAACTCACAGGATACAAAATTACTATGTAGAAATTTGTTGTACTTCTATATCCTAATAATGAAGCAGCAGAAAAAGAACTTAATAAAACAACCCCATTTACAACTGCACCAAAAATAGCAAGATACCTAAGAATAAACCTAACCAAAGAGGTGAAAGATGTGTACTCTGAAAACCTATGAAACGCTAATGAAAGAAATTGAAGACAACACAAAGAAATGGAAAAACATTCCATGCTCATAGTTTGGAACAGTAAATACTGTTAAAATGTCTATAGTATCCAAAGCAATCTATAGATTTAATGCAATCCCTTAAAAAATACTAATAACATTTTTCACAGCAGAACAAAAAGTCCTACAATTTATATGGAATGATCCTGAAATGATCTTGAATTTCCAAAAGCAATTTTCAAAAAGTAAAACAAAGGTGGAAGTATCAAAATTCACACTTCAAGTTATATTACAAAGCTAAAATAACCAAAAAAGTAGATGCTGGCACAAAAATAGACATACAGATCAATAGAAAAGAACAGAAAGCCCAGAAATGATCCACAGGTATATGGTCAATTAATCTTCAACAAAGCAAAGAAGAATAGAATACCCAATGGGAAAATCAGTCTCTTCAACAAATGGTATTGGGGAAAACGGACAGCAATATGCAAAATACTGAAAATGGACCACTTTTGTAAAGCATACACAAAATAAATTCAAAATGGATTAAAGACCTATCTATGAGACCTGAAACCATAAAAATCCTAGACAAGAACATAGGCAGTAATGTCTCTGACACTGGCCACAGCAACTTCTTATTAAGTATATCTCCTGAGGTAAGTGAAACAAAAACAAAAACAAACTATCAAAATAAAAATCCTTTGCACAGTGAAGGAAACAATCAACAAAACTAAAAGGCAAGAGATATAATGGGGAGAAGATATTTACAAATGACATATCTTATAAAAGGTTAGTATCCAAAATATATATAAAGAAATGATACAAATCCATACCAGACAAAAAAAAAAAACAAATAATCCAATTTACAAAGAAGCAGAAAACATGAACAGACATTTTTCCAAAGAAGGCATCCAGATGGTCAACAGACACATGAAAAAATGCCCAACATCACTCTGCATCAGGGAAATAAAAATCAAAACCACAATGAGATTTCACCTCACACCTGTAAGAATAGCTAAAATTAACAATACAGAAAACAACAGGTGTTGGCAAGGATACAGAAAAAGAGGAACCTTCTTGCACTGTTGGTGGGAATGCAAACTGGTGCAGCCACTCTGGAAAATAGTATGGAGGTTCCTCAAAAAGTTAAAAACAGAACTATCCTATGAAAGGATACATACACACCAATGTTTATGCAGCATTGTTTACAATAAGCAAATTATGGAAACAGCACAAGTGTCCATCAACTGATGAATGGATAAAGAAGAAGTGGTATATTTATACACAATGGAATATGATTCAGCCATCAAGAATGAGATCTTGCCATTTGCAATGACATGGGTGGAGCTAGAGAGTGTAATGCTAAGTGAAATAAGTCACTCAGCAGAAAGACAAATATCATATGATTTCATGTACATGTGGATTAAAGAAACAAGCAGGCAAAAGTGGGAAAAAAAGAGAGAAAGAAATAAATTAAGAAACAGATTCTTAATTACAGAGAACAAACTGATGTTTACCAGAGGGGAGGAGGATGGGGGGTGGGCTGAAAGAGGTGATGGGGATTAAGGCATGCACCTGCTGTGATGAGCACTGGGTGATGTATCAACAATTCTGCTGAATCACTATATAATCACTAAATAAAAAATAAAATAACAAAAGTTGAATAAGTCAGAGATCTAATGAACAACCCGGTGTTTACAATTAACAATACTATTGGATACTTGAAATCTGCTGAGAGAGTGGATCTGAAGTGTTCTCACCACAAAAAAAAAAAAAAAGTAACTGTGTAAGGTGGAATAAAAGTCATCAAAGGTATTCTGTGATGATAACTTATTCATCTATTTAATTTTAAGACAGCTAAACCTCAAATATCAAAAGTGAGTGTCAACAGTTAATAGGACTATCATTATAATCATTACTTGAATCTTCATCCCATCTGTCAAAAAAAGGCTTTTCTCAACTGAAAAATAGGAAATTATTCTTTGGAGCATATCCCTGTCCCTTTGAAATTTTTAATAATGCTATTCATAAATAATTATTTAATGATATCCCAGTTTCCTATTTATTATAGAAGCTACATAATCAAACTGAGGGAAGATTTTAAACCCAGATATTCAAAGCGAGCCATGTTTAATAGAACTTTCTAACAACAACCCCATTGGCTACTAGGCATTTGAAATGTGGCTCACATAACAGCAGAATTGATTTTTTAATTAAATGCAACTCAATTTTAATTTTAGTAGCCACATGTGACTAGTGACTACTGATTGGACAGTGCCATTTCAAACTATTAAAAATTTCGGGAGACAAACCATAAGAGACTCTTAATCTTACAAACAAACTGAGGATTGCTGAGGGGAAGGGGAAGAGGGACAGGGGGATTGGGTTATGGACATCAGAGAGGGTATGTGCTATGGTGAGTGCTTAACAATTCACAGACCTGTACTCCTGGGGCAAATAATACATTATGTGTTAATAAAAATAATTTAAAACCAGAATTTCACATAGAGCAAGCTGCCTATTTGATCTGATTTAGAAACTTTACAGTATAATATCTGAACCATTATCTTACATGCATTACTAATTATATAGCCACTCATTGCTTCGAATTCTATTAACTCTTATATTTCACTTACTTGGCTTTAGACAATGGGGCTCTTGAGGAGCGTTTAGTCTGTTGTTTAAGGAGATTTTTCAGTTCTTCTAGTTTTTGCACTTGCTTTACTACTTGTGCAATGCTTAAAGTGACTGTTTTGTCAGGAATTGGACACTCTGCCTCTAAAAAGGTTTGATCTTTACTTATCTAAAATGAAAGATTAGCCAGTTACTTTCTTTTCTGAAAAGAAATTTCATCATTTTTTATTTTTTATTTCCTATATTTAAATAACTTTTATAATACTCTTATCTATAGTTATAATCAAATACTGCTATTTCATAAATATAATTTTGAGTAATTACCTAACAACAGAATTATAGATAAGTGTTGACTTACATGTCAAAACTCAAATCCAATCTTCGGTTTATTATTTTAATATATAAGAATTTTAAGCAAATTCAATAACGATTGAAACAGGATCAGTTAAGGGTAATTCAAAATACTTACAAGAGAATTCTAAAGTAATTGCTTCCCCAAAATCCTAAGAATAGTCTTACTTAAGATAAATATGGAAAAACATTAATTTGCTCTCAAAAGCAATAACTTCTATTAACTCGCAGAAGTTAATATATAAAAATATATGAAACTGGCATTCCTTGGTCTGTCTGGGAAGAACTAAGACCCATTTGGGTGTCTCAAGACTTTTAGAATAGGCCAACCTCCAGAATAATGAGGAATCAGGAGAATCTGTAAGATCCACAGAATAATATGATAGACTATAACTGATATTCTAAGTAAGTATTCTAAGTATTCTAACTCTGCTTAAAGCTGAGCAAGATGAGTGCCTCCCAGCTTAAAAAAAAAAAAAGGCACAATTAAAGAAACACAGAAACAGCCAATAATGTGGAGACATAAACAAGCAGAGTAGCAAAAAAAAAAAAAAAAAAAAGAATTTTTTTTTGACAAAATGGCAGAGATCCACCCATGTATATATACACTGCCAACTTTAATGATAGGAGGGAAAGTGGAGAAGAAGAAGAGGAAGAGGAGGAGGACAAGGAGAAGGAGGGAAAGGAGGAGGGGGAGGGAGAGGAGGAGGGAAAAGAAGAAGAAGAAAGGAGAAGAAAAAGAAGAAAGAAGAAAGGAGGAGGAGAAGGAGAAGGAAGAAGAAAGGAAAAGGAGAAGAAAGGGAGGAGGAGGAGTTGTTGTCATCGTCGTCATCAAGACATAGCCTAAAACCTAGCAAAAAGAAATCCTAGCAATGGGATTTAAAATAGACTTCATTTAGTAACGCCTACTTGTAATGGAATTACGATATAATAACAGGAAGTATATACCGGGCAATGAACCAGAAGTCTGGAATTGAGGGATGCGGAACAGGTGGAAGGGAAATAGGAGATGTATGGAAACTCTATGGACAAAGGCATGATCCCAAAGAGGGGACATAATTTGGTGTATCAGATATATTGCCAATTCATAAATGGAGTTTAAAAATGATGTAGCAATAGCCAGTTATCAGTTTATTGCCTTTCATCTAAAAATCCATTCTTCATTGTCCTGCTAATAATAGTGGAACATTTCTCTCTTGACAGGTGTCATGTTAACCCTTTAATAGAGGGTCCTAGACACTCCAGAAAGAAGCAGCTTTCTTCCTAAGTCTGTCATCTTTCTCTGCTTAATCCGAGGACACTGCAAGGTATACCTAGTAGAGTTCTAGAAAGTTTCGACAGCCCCACCCCCATATGTATCTTCCTCACAAGGTTCCTAGCATGACTTTGCTTGGGCAGCTTCTCCCAGAATTTCTTAGCAAAATCTACCAGTGTAGAACCTCTCTCTGGGAAGCTTTCCAGCATACCACCCTTGTGGTATGCTAGAGGTACACCACCTCCCTGGAAGATGGCTTTTCCCAGCACCACAGCACCAATGTACTGCCATCATGGTCAGCTTCCCAGTAAATCCCAGTTCCACCAACATGGCACCCCAGCAAACTTCTCTGCCACTTGGTGGTGACAGCTGCTCCTTCTTCACAAGGTGTGGACCTCCTGAGTTAGGGAGAGGGTTAGGGTAGGGCTATTGAGATTTGTTCCTTCCTTAAGTGCTATGCTTCCATCCTATCAATAGAGGCTGCTCTTTATACCCTCTATCCCTGTATCTTTTAGAGTTGTCTTTATCACTTTATAGGTATTCTCCTGTTATAATAATTCTTTATGTTAAACTTTCCCTATTCAGATTACTGTGTAGTTCTCATCTTTTGATCAGTCCCTAACTGACACCCTGTATTTCTCATTAGGAATTCAATTTAAACATAAGTACTTTCTGGGAGAAGAGATGATGTCACAGAACTAAAGGAATGTGGAATAGACGATGAGATTATAGGCTATAAGATTTCATCAAAGAGACATACTGGACACAGGTTCCAGCAGAACAACTCTGAAGCTCATAGGCTATATGCTTATTCTACATTTCTCTGCTATGGCTCACATATGTTATGAAAGCTTTCACATGTATCTTGTTAATACAACCTGATGACAAGCATATAAAACCTCACCAGCATGTACTAACAATAAAATGTGTCAGCAATAAGTATGAGATTATTCCACAATTCTCAGATCTTAGTGTACATAATAATCCTCTAAAAAATCCTATTAAAAAGGCAGATTCCTAACTTATACATGCACAAGAAAACTTTAACTCAGTAAGTCTGACTTGGAATTCTGAAATGTGCATTTGTAACAGGTATCTTGGGCGATATTTAAACATGATCTATCAAATATATTTTAAGAAACACTCAACAAAAGGCAGAAGATAATACAAATACTTAGGCAATGTATCAGATACACCAAATTAAGTAACTATTCAAAAGAATTAATTATGGATCTAAAAACTGAAAAATTTAGATTCTAGATTAGATGTTTACTGAAGATTCCTCTTGGTGAACATGAATGCATAAATCAGGATTTCAGGAATCCCAGAAATGACAGTAACTGGCACTAAGGTGTAGATAGTAGATACAGAGAAAAATAGACACGCATGATAGCTATTTAGGTTATAAAATCAAAATGACTCGGGAATGTACTGAATATTAGGAAATTGAGTTGTCAAGGTAAATCACCACACTTCTGGTTTACCCAACAGGATAAATACTACTGCCATTCGCTAAGATAGGGAACACTGGAAGAGGTAAAAGTTTAAGTGTAAAAAATTCTTGGTTTTACCAGTTAGAATCGCTAAAATTAACAGGTCAGGAAATGACAGGTGTTGGTGAGGATGCAGAGAAAGGGGAACCCTCCTACACTGTTGGTGGGAATGCAAGCTTGTGCAGCCACTCTGGAAAACAGTATGTTTTGAGGTTCCTCAAAAAGTTTAAAATAGAGCTACCATATGACCCAGCAATTGCACTACTGGGTGTTTACCCTAAAGATACAAATGTAGTGATCCAAGGAGGCATGTGCACCTCAATGTTTATAGCAGCAATGTCCACGATAGCCAAACTATGGAAAGAACCTAGATGTCCATCAATAGATGAATGGATAAAGAAGATGTAAAAAATAAATAAATAAATAAACAAACAAATAAATAAATAAATAGGATGTGGTGTGTATATATACAATGGAATACTATGCAGCCATCAAAAGAAATGAAATCTTGCCATTTACAATGACATGGATGGAACTAGAGGGTATTATGCTGAGCGGAATAAGTCAATCAGAGAAAGACAATTATTGTATGATCTCTCTGATATAAGGAATCTGAGAGGCATGGCAGGGGGTCGTGGGGGTAGGGAAGGTAAAAATGAAACAAGATGGGATTGGGAGGGAGAAAAACCATAAGAGACTCTTAATCCCACGAAACAAACTGAAGGTTGCTGGTGGGTGGAGGGAGTCAGGATAGGGTGGCTGAGTTATGGAAATCGGGGAGGGTATGTGCTATGGTGAGTGCTGTGAAATGTGTAAGCCTGATGATTCACAGACCTGTACCCCTGGGGCAAATAATGCATTATATGTTAATTTTTTAAAAATTCTTAGTTTTTACTCATTGGGTTTGAGGTGAAATAGTCCAGAGGAGTTTAGAAAACTGTTTTGAGCAAGAAGTGTCTATTTCTAAATTACCATTATAAAGGTAATTCTTAAATGGAAAAACTGGTTGAGGTTGCCTAGGGGGAGAAGTTTAGAGTAAAGGGGGAAAAAAGGAAGGCATAGAATGAAATCTCGAAGCACTCCAATATTTATTGTTTAGAAAAGGAAGGTGCTATAAAGGAAACAGCTAAGGAGGTAAAACAATGGCCAGGAAAGTGTAATTCACAAAATTCAAAGAAATAGTGTTTTTAAAATGAGGAAATGACCAACAATGTCAACTATGGCTGAGGTAAAGAAAACTGCATATTGAATTTAACAACATAAAAATTGCAGAGAACCATACAGAATGCTTTCTTTGTTATGGAGAAAGAATCCAGTTGGGGTAGACTGAGAATGCTTTGGAAGTAAGAAGAGTATATATAGTAAATTGATATCAAAAAAATTTAGCTCTGAACCTGTAAAGTATGACCCTAAGCTAAACTGTTAAAGTTTTTATAGAAATACACAGACAACTCTAATTGTTTTGATAGCCTTAGTTGGCTCTTTAAAGGACAGAATGCCCAGATTAACCTCCTCACTAAGTGCCTATTTACCAGTTAACAATTTTTTTTTATAAAAAACTCAACTAGTTTCATTGTTCCTAAACTATCTGCAAGGCTTTCTCTCCTCTTTTTAAAAAATTTTTAAAAGATTTTATTTATTTGAGAGAAAGAGGAAGAACAAGGGGAGGAGCAGAGGGAGAGGGAGGAGAAGCAGACTCCCCACTGAATGGAGAGCCCCACACGGGGCTGGATCCCAGAACCCTGAGATCCTGACCTGAGCAGAAGGCAGACACTTAACCAACTGAGCCACCCAGGTGCCCCTTCTCTTCTCTCTTTTATAAATCTCGGGTTTTGCCTTTATCCCCAACAATATCTAATAACTATTTCCCTTGTAAGCAAATTTGCATACAAAGTAGTTTTTTAAAAATTGGTTATGAACGGCAAAAGAGAAATAGGTCTATAACTGGAGGGAATGCTGCATCAATTAGATATGAGCATATTTAAAACCTGAAAGGAATGACACAATTGATTAGGAAAAGTTTAGTATATAAGAGAGAATGACTGATCAAATTTCTTAAGACCCAAAACAAGTAAGAGAATGAATCTTATGTAGAAAGAAGAAAAATATCTGTTTAACGAGAGCAAAGGAAGATAGAATGAGCATGGATATAAAGAAATTTTTGTTTGGTAGCAAACTGAAGGAGTTCTAACCAGTGGCTTGTATTTCAAGCATTTTAAGTGACTGGCTGACAGTGAAAATGAAAATGGGACAGAGGGAGTGTGGGACTGAGAGGATAGATGAAAAGGACTGAAATTCATTTTGGAAATGCAAAGGAATTGCAAGGCAGTATTTGGAATAATTACGTTTGAATAACTGTGTCACTTTCTTCATCAGCGTTTCATAGCTAAGCTAAAGGCCCAAAGAGTAAATAACTGCATTTATTCAAGGCTAAATTTTTTAGGCTAGTGAAATGAAAAATGCAAGAGATAAAGAAGAGTAGGAAGTTAAGAAATTCACTGTTATTAAGGACATATGTTCCAAGCTGAAAAGAAAAATGAGTAAAAAAGACTGAGGAAGGGGCGCCTGGGTGGCTCAGTGGGTTAAGCTGCTGCCTTTGGCTCAGGTCATGATCTCAGGGTCCTGGGATTGAGTCCCGTGTGGGGCATTGGGCTCTCTGCTTAGCAGGGAGCCTGCTTCCCTCTCTCTCTCTCTTTCTGCCTGCCTCTCTGCCTACTTGTGGTCTCTCTCTCTCAAATAAATAAATAAAATCTAAAAAAAAAAAAAAAAAAAAAAAAAAGACTGAGGAAGGTTAAGGTATGAATGAACTAATGGTCTTGATAAAGTCAAAGAGTGGCCAGAATAGTATGTAAATAATAACTGACAAGATAAAAATATGTAGTTCAAGAATAAGTTGCCTGAATTAGTGATTTTAAAATAAAGCTATTTGTTAATGATAAGGTCTAGAGTATCACTAGAAGTGAGGGCCAAAGATAAAGAAAGAGATTAGTTCTGGGGAGATGGGGAGTCAAGGAACTCAGAGGCTAGGATTTGGGGTAGGTCTTCATATTGACAGGATTAGGTACAAATAAAAGAAAGTGAGACAAATCCATGTATAAAACAGAATAAAAAGAAGTAGCAAGATGAAAGAAGGCAGAAAACAAGCTAGATTGTTCAAGTTGAAAAGTATACATTTTATAAGAAGGGAGAACAGTGGACTTCACCTCAATCCTACATCTCTGGAAAGATAATGACCCATCTATCATAGGCAAAGAAGAGCTACTAACACTCTTCCAATGTCAGCCATATCTATCCTAAAGCAAAGGGTATATACAGACCGTAAAAGTCTACTCTGGAGCCAAAGGTAAAATAAGAAGGCGCTAGGAGACAGTTACAATTTCTATCTTTACTTTTTAATTTTATATCCCAAATAAATGAACTTATTTAAAGTACCTGGGATTCAGTGGTGCTTAATTGGACTAAATCATAAGCACAACCAACAGAGAACAAGAATCATTCTATAAATCACTGAGGCTACCCTAGAAATCATTCTGCTATATTAATAGCATAAATTCTTTCCCAAAATAGAATTAAAAACCCTTAAGATTAGAGACTACTAGCTTTCAAAATGGTCATAAAACATCTGAAAATCTAAAAAAAAAAAAAAAGATCATTAAAATAACATTAAGTTTAAAGAAAACCAAATATAATTTTATAAGTAAATATATTATACATACTTTTTTAAATACAGGAGAAATATTTAAGTTGCTAAGTTTTCTCTTGTCATTCTTTTATGTAAATTAGTAAAAATGATAATTAAATTTCCATTATTTAATTTTAGGAGAAAGAATGTGTCAAACAGAGCATTCCAGATACACATAGGAATGTAGTATGTAATCACTGAGAAACATTTTGCTCTACCCATTTGTTCCTTCTCTACCTAAATTAAAAGATTATTCAAAAATTTTTTATTTCAAATTGATTTTCAGATGAGACAAAATAATTTAATTTACAATTAAGAAATGTTATACTTACCTCTTCTATCTGATTGACCTGTCGTTGAAACCACTTTAAAAAAAAAAAAAAGAAATACTTATTGGCAAGCTATTCCAACATATGGGTACATATGAGTGCATTTGTATGTGTATGTGTGTGTGAGTTATCTATGAAATATTAACCCTGAACCAACATCATTATCATTTATCCTAGGGTTCAGAATGGAGCTAATGCAATGTACAACTCGAACATAACATTTTTAAATATACATAGTAGCAAGTTTGGGAGTTCTTTTTATTTCCTCAAAACTTAGAAACCTCTTCCCCATTAATATGTATTTCTGTACTAAATGTTAGTAGGCTTAAACTGCAATATATTAAACATACCTTAAAAAGAGATTCCAAAATCTGGAAAATAAAGTTTTAATTAAAACATTTAAAAATAAGAATTCTTCACAGTGTATGATGTGATGTCTCTATAATTCTCAACCAGAAAAATGCAAATTACAATTTACTAAAACTATAAATCTATAATCCAAAATCATAATTTTCATAATTACAGACACAGTTTTAGTATATCTTGCATAGACAACTCAATTCTAGAAAAATTTCCATCTCTATAGATCTATATTAGGATAGGCCAAAATAATTCACATATATGATTTCATATATTTTCTTAATATAGGTAAAGAAAAAAATTAGTAGTCCTCTTGGAAGAGATTTTTTTCATATAACAGAGAGTATAGTAATAAAAAGCATTATCATAAGAACATTATCTCTTCAATATGACTTTTCTCTGATAACAGCCCTAAAAAATCAAGCTATAAAATACTATACTATTACCTGATATTTTTAATGGAAAATGCAAAAAAATGGTTTGGGAGATTGTGACATAAATTGAATATCCAAAATACCAAGACTTAACACTTAGAAAATGTAATGTTAAAATGATTATGCTTGCCACACAAAATACAAGCCTATTCTATCACATCCAGGTAAAAGTCTTTAACCACTTTGTTGAAGAAAAATATTACTACATTCATTTAGGCATTAAAAAAAAAAAGTTGCTCAACTAAAAAATCAGGCTACTCTAAAATCTCTCTTCTGCCACACTAACTCTCAAGGAATAATTCAAAAATTGTGGTCCCACAGTCAAAAGCATCAGCATCACCTAAACAAAGATATTTGTTTGTATAAATTTGTGTAAAATTGTGTAAAAAAATGTAAATTATTTTTAATATTTTATTTATTTATTTGACAGAGACACAGTGAGAGAGGAACACCAGCAGGGGGAGTGGGAGAGGAAGGAGCAGGCTTCCCACAGAGCCTGATGCGGGGCTGGATCCCAGGACCCTGGAATCATGACCTGAGCCAAAGGCAGGCACTTAATGACTGAGCCACCCAGGCACCGCAGAAAATGTAAATTCTTAAGCCCGACCCCAAATGAATCAAAAGCTCTGGCAGTACGGTCAGCAATATAACTAGCCCTCCAACTGATTCTGTTGCATGCTAGGTTTTGAGAATCCCTGTGCTAAGTAATAAGAAATCAGAAATCTAAGCAAAAAGGGCTGAGACCCTCAAGAAAACATACCAAAGTAAATAAATATCCAAGTCTGAAGGAAAATAATTTCAGCTACACAAGGATTTAGAAACTAATGTTCACTGAGGCATACTACCTTGGAATAAACTCATTCTTCCCACTATCAACAGAGATTCCAAGGTTCTCAAAACCTCTTTTCCTATCTCAGATGATGATGAGAAACCATCATATATCAGTTCACCCATTCATTAGAGCCAGAGTTTATTTAAACCTTAAATAAACTATGTAAACCACTAAAAGCCTGGAGAACAAAGGCTTTCTCAACTACTGAGAAAAACATCAGTTCTAGTAATGTTGAATCTAGAACACTATTGGTAAAGTGGAAAATGAAAACTGATCAGAAGTGAGAAAATCAATTTTAGGCAAACACTAAACAGAAAGAGAAAATTCTATGAAAATGTGGAAGAACATATATGAAGTACCCCAGGAAAATATTAAACTTCCACCATTCTAATTTTAAAGATATTATCATGTAAGTGTGAAGCCAAAATAAAATTTATTTTATTTATTTTTTATTATTTTTATTATTTTTTATTATTATTTTAAAATATTTTCAGAAACTTTAAGATTCAGAAACGGTTTCACCACACATTCTAACCTAGCAAACTACAAAATTTATTCTTAGAAAAGTAAACACAAGAAAAAACTACCTAGGCAAGGTAACCAGTAAAAACCCTATTCTTTTTGTTTCAACTTTTTATTTAAATTCCAATTAGTTAGCATATAGGGTCGTATCAGTTTCAGGAGTAGACTTTAATGATTCATTACTTACGTATAACACCCAGTGCTCATCACAAGTGCCCTCCTTAATGCCCATCACCCATCTGTAATCCATCCCCTTGCCCACCACCCCTCCAGCAACCCTGTTTGTTCTCTATAGTTAAGAGTCTGTTTTAGGGTTTACCTCTCTCTCTTTTTTTTCCCTATGTTCATCTGCTTCATTTCTTAAATTCCACATATGAGTGAAATCATATAGTGTTTGTCTTTCTGACTCACTTATTTCGCTTAGCATAATATACTCTAGTTCCATCCATGTTGTTGTAAATAACAAATTTTCATTAGAGTATTTTTTTAACTCTTTGAATAAATACCTAGTAGAGCAATTGCTACATCATAGGGTAGTTCTATTTTTAACTTTTTGAGGAACTTCCATGTTATTTTCCAGAGTGGCTGGCCAGTCTGCCCTCCCACCAACAATGTAGAAGTGTTCCCCTTTCTTTGCATCCTCGCCAACATCTGTTGTTTCTTGTATTGTTAATTTTAGCCATTTTGACAGATGTGAGGTGACATCTAATTGTAGTTTTAATTTGTATTTCCCTGATGGTGACTGGATATTGAGCATCTTTTCATGTGTCTGTTAGCCACCTGAGTAAATACCCTATTCTTAAAAAAAATTGTGGCTAATGGGGCTGGCACTCAATGCTCCTATCATAAAAAGCTTCCTAAGGAGAAGATAGCATGATATTTTTTAAAGTGAAATAATAATCTGTAACTAAAATTCCAGATAGGCATATGGTATCACTGAAGCCAAGAGAAGTCCTGAAGGACTGGCAGCTTTTGCTTTGCTTCATGTAGCTCAAAATTCTCTCAAGGCAAAAAGAAACAAAACAAAACCAAAACAAAAGAACAAAAAAAACAAATAAGTGGAGGCCGTCTCTCACCATTGAAAGGCAAATAAACAAACCACAGCTCCCTGGAGCTGTTGTGGCAAATAATACACATGTCAACAGCATAGAAGAAAAAGCTGGGTAGAGAGTTACTTAGGAAAAAAAGGATTTTGAAAAGATCCCATATATACGGGGGAATCCTAATAAGCCATGCATTTGCCCAAGCCAGGACTCAAAATATCTGAGTAGACACTAAACTCTCACAGTTGGTTTATTTTTAGCTCAGAGCAAGCAGAAAATGAAAGCTAACTCAAGATTTGTAAACAGCCCGGCTAAACTCTGAAGGAGTGCCCCAACACAAAGCCAATCCTGAAGAAACGGGAAATAATTTTTTCTCCTTTTCCTTTTTTTTTTCTTTTTGTGGCTCAACGCATTTAAGGAAATATTTCTCAAATCCATCAACTAACCATAAGCAATAGGAACAGAGGCCTGAGAGACAAAATATTTAATCAAGGAATACAGACATTCAAAACAGCTTAGACTTCTGGTTTCCAACCCGGCATGCAGAGAGCCTGGATTAGTCAGTCACTCTGTCCTAACAAGAAAAGTTGAATGAACTGAAAATGAACAACTGTTCTTGTATCTATCACAGAATTGAGATCACTGAGCAAAACACATCACCAAAAATTAAAGAGACAAACAGATGATCCTGAGAAGCAGAAATTATCAGAGCAGAAATCCATGAGAACAAACCTCCACAGGAACTAGCAGTGAGATAAGAAAACCCAAGCTGTAAATGAACTGCTGGAAGCCCCGCATGGACATGTTCAAGAGTTAAAAACTTCAGTGGGAAAAAGTTTTGAGGAGTTTCTTTAAAAACTAAGCATACTCTTTTTTTTTTTTTTTAAGATTTATTTATTTATTTGACAGAAAGAGAGAGATCACAAGTAAGCAGAGAGGCAGGCAGAGACAGAGAGAGGGGGAAGGAGGCTCCCTGCTGAGCAGAGAACCCGATGTGGGGCTCAGTCCCAGGGTCCTGGGATGGAGCCCACATGGGGCTCCTTGCTCAGCAGAGAGCCTGCTTCTCCCTCTCTTTCTGTCTGCCACTCTGCCTACTTGTGCTCTCTATCCCTCTACCAAATACATAAATAAAATCTTTAAAAAAAAAAAAGACAGAGAGAAAAGAAAATGTATGTCCATACAAAAACCTGCACACAGAAGTTTACAGCAGCTTTATTCATAATTACTAAAACTTGGAAGCAAAGAAGGTGTCATTCAGTAAGTGAATAGATAAACAAAATGTGGTACAACTATACAATAAATCACTCTGCACCAAAAAAAAAAAAAAAAAAAAAAGCTGGCAATCCATGAAAAGACATGTAGGAATCTTAAACGCATATTACTAAGTGAAAGAAGCCAATCCAAAAAAGACTATACACTGTATGATTCCAACTATATGGCATTCTGGAAAAAGAAAACTAAAGACATAAAGCTATCAAGGGTTGGATAAGGAAAAGAAAATGAATATGTGGAGCACATGGGATTTTTAGGGCTGTGAAACCATTCTGTATGATACTGTAATTGTATCATTTTACATTAGTTAGAACCCATAGAATGTACAATACCAAGAGAAAGCCTTATGTAAACTATGGACTTTGGGTGATGATGATGTGTCAGTATAACTTCATAGATCTTACAAGGATACTACTCTGGTGCATGATGTTGTTAATAGAGGAGGCCCATGCATACATAGGAATAGCAAGTATATGGAAACTCTCTGTACTATATGCAATTCGGCTGAGAACATAAAATTGCTCTAAAAATGAAGTCTATTTGGGGGCACCTGGGTGGCGCAGTGGGTTAAAGCCTCTGCCTTCTGCTCAGGTCACAATCCCAGGGTCCTGGGGTCGAGCCCCACATCAGGCTCTCTGCTCAGTAGGGAGCCTGCTTCCCTTCCTCTCTCTCTGCCTGCCTCTCTGCCTACTTGTGATCTCTGTCAAATAAATATCTTTAAAAAAACTAAAAATAAAATGAAGTCTATTTAAAAAATAGTAGCTTAGAAAAGTCACTAAACAAAAATAACAAAATTTACAGAGAGGGGGAAATCTGATATCCAGAGTTACCACATAAAATACTCAAGATATCTTGTTTTCAACAAAAAATTATGAAGCAAGCACTCAATGAAACAAGAAATTGTGACT